TAAACAGACTTGGGTCTGCTGCACAATGTGCTTTCATCTCCTGTTCTTCCCTTATTTTCACTTTTTTGAGTGTGAAGCTGTCCTCGGGACACTTGATGGGCAGCCTCTGTTTACTCTGTGCAGAGCCCTGTGCTCTCGGGCAGGACTTGTCAGCCCCCACACGCTCTGCTTCAGGACTCACATAATGTGCCACAGAAAGCTTTGCCCTCGAAATGACCAGTAACTAACTGCACAGCTGCCGGTGCTCTCCAGCCGTAACCCACGGAGCAAGCAATACAGATGCTGGTAGGTAGTGAGTGCATCGTGACCCCAATTCCAGACTGTGTGAGTGGGAGGGAGAGGGGAACTCGGCCACTGGCACACAGCCCATTAACTTCCACGTTATGCCCTGGTCGGAGTGGGAGGGGAGAAGTTACATCACTAGCAATTGAAGTGTAGAGTAACTGGGTGTGGGGAGAGCTAGTCCCCAGGCCTCCCCCCCACTTAAATTTCAGCATTTGAAATGATCCATTGCTTATTACTTGATCTCTTTTCTAACCTTTTCCCTTTTACTGAGGTGGCGACCTTGGCAGCAGCATTTTTTTCTTTGTGGCAAAAATGGAAAAAAGCAGCTTTGGTAATAGGGCCCTGGGACAATGAAAAGGGGCTGCTACAGTGAAGTGAGAGGAGTGCGTCCTGGAGTGAGTGTGTTCAGTCCCATGGTGGCTGAAGTGGCTGTGTTTATCTCCTCTCTTCCTTGTCAGAAGGCTGTTTGACACCAGAATTTAACTAGTAGATGACATCCTTCACATGAGGAAAGTGGGCACAAGATCAGCATGGTTAATGAAGGACCAGGACAGAAAGGTGTCTCTGCCTGTGCTGTGAGCTGAGGTGTATTTGGTCCTTTTTTATCCTGCTGACCACAACAGGGTGGAGAGCAGTCCCACAGCTTTGTTACATTGTAGTGGACAGAGGCCAAGTATAACTATGTCTGAATAAGCCTTAGAAAAGATAGGGATTTTTGCAGGGGGCTGAGGGTGGGAAGAGTTGGGACAAGGCAGCTAGATATTGCAGTGGATAGAGTGCCTGGCCTGGAGAGAAAGACTCATCTTCCTGAGTTCAAATCTGGTCTCAGACACTAGCTGTGTGACCCTGAGCATGTCACCTCACCCTGTTTGCCTCAGTTCCTCATCTGTAAAATGAGCTGAAGAAGGAAATTGGCAAACCACTCTAGTATCTTTGCCAAGAAAACCCCAAATGGGGTCACTGAGAGTCAGATATGACTGAAAAAATGACAACATGGGTTGGGAGGTCGGAAATGGACCTGAGATTGCATTGTCTAAGGAGCTTCAAAGTGGATTTACAGTAGTTAGAGAATTCCTCCAAGGGTTAAATGTGGAGGAGGGGGCACACTTGGTAACTGGAAGAGATGGGTCTCAGGTCAGGATCTCAGGGCTTTAAAGGCTTTCAATATGCTGCTCTGCTTTTCCTTTTTGGTGCTGAAGAGATAGCAAAAATGAAGGGGATGAGGTTTTTTTAGAGGAGCAGCGTGAAATTGTGGCAAGTCTGAATATTTTCTTCATCTAATAGCTAAGTGACCAAGGGCACGTTCTTTCACCTTTTAGAGCCTAAGGTTTCTCATCTTTAAATGGGGCTAATTACACCTGTAGTATTGACCTAGTGGGTTGGTTGTGAAAAAGCCAATGAAGTTAACATGTGGAAATTATTTTAAGATCTTTCGAGTGCTGTATAAATGTGAGCTGTTTTGATTATTCTGCTCTGGTGCATCCTGGGCTTGTTCACCACAGGATCTCAAAGCTTGAGAGCCTAGTGGGGTTTTGTCTGCTAAACCAAGCAAAACTAAAACAATGATTGGAATTGCTCTTCAATAACTTTGTTTTACAGCTAATATTGACAAACAGCATAGAGGGAGAATATATTTAGTCTTCCTCCAACTGAGATACTAACAAGGGTAAAAAGACCAACACCTTGGAAATGAAAATTGTCTGGGTGCCCTACTTCTGTGTAGCTGAGAACCATCAGAACCCAGAGAGCTTTTGTTCATCATTCATAAGCCTGCTTGCCCTCAAGTGTTTTCTTTTTCCTTATCCTTGAATACCAGAGCCATACAGAATCCTGTCTCTTTCTGTGTTATAGCTGCTAGCCTGTGGGTGTGATGATAACATCTGGATAAGTGAGACAAAATTTTTCTGAATCTCTCATGACCTTTGGTTTAGTCTTTTCTCTCTTCCATTAGGGGTTTCTCTCAGTTCTCACTTGACTGTCATACAGATGTCTTTCATGTAGTAGTGAAAACAATTGGAAAAACATTTCTTTCTGTAAAGGTACTGACAAACAGTTGAATCTTCTCCAGTTTTTCGTATTGATATATTTTATAATATATTTTATAAAAGCTTCTGGTTACCTTATAGGAAAATATTATTTGATTAATTTGACCCATCTATTTACCAGAAAAATGAAGACCCATTAGAAGGCATGGAATTCTCCTAGTGTGTCTCTGGAGTGAGTGCCTGGGACGGTTTAATTAAGTTTTCTCTACCTTCATCATCATTGTTATAATAATTAACTCTGATTGTATTGAACTGGACTCTTTTTCATGCTTTCCATAGGAAAAGTATTTAAGACCTTCTACCATTTGACCCTTTTAAACCTTATTTCTTTTATTATCTCATTCAGGTAACCTATTCTCTCTAAACAGAACTACCGTTATTTCTCAAGCCAGCCCTGAGATTGTCCTCTTTCATACATTGGGTTTGCGGTGTTCCTTTTTCCTAGAATCTAGCCCTTTTTCCTTCCTCCTTTTTCCCTCCTCCCCTACCCCCCTTTCTTCTATTGTCCTAGCTTTTTCAGAGTCTTCTAGGCTCAGTCAAGAAGCCATGTCCATATTTAATCTTTCCTGGTCCTCTAGCAAAAACCAGTCTTTACCTCTTTGGGATTCCAACTGCACTTTATTCTGTTTCTTATGATGCTCTATCCACTGCGCCACTTAGCTGCCCCTTGTTTCTTGTGACTTTTAACAGACTTTACTTGTAGTTAATTTGTGCATTTGTTTTATTTTCCATCTCTTATTTAAACACACGGCACCCCACCCCTAATATAGGGCTTTGTACATGGTAGGGACTCATATATATATATTTTTTAATGTTGAATTAATGGAATTTTATGCTTTCCAGGAAGCCTATCTTAAATGAGGTAGATGCTATTGCAGAACTTGAGAGAAAAGTGCTATATGAAAGTCTTTTCCATAATCCCTCATCTACTATAAGTTCTTTGTCATTGATGACTTGTTTGAATACGTGGTTTTGAAGTCTTGTACTGAAAGGACTTTTAAAAGCTATGTAAGTAGGATTTCTGTCTCTCTATTTTATGTTGAACACACCTATTAATATAAGTTCATAGTACCTATGACATCCATGGACAATAGAAATCAGCTGTCAGAGGGAAACCATTATCTAGCACACATTGGTTTTAAATTCTCTGTTCAGTCCATCAGGTGATGATCTAAAGTGTCTTCTGTAAGATGCAAGGGGACACACAAAGTAAGTCTTCACAGGATGGTGATTCCGCCCACTTCCACTGGCAGAAGGCAAAGGGTGCACTGTTGTCTCGTAGAGAATGTTGAGTATGTTGTACCCCATGGTGAGAGATCTGCTTATGTCAGTCAAAAGCCGAGGACAAGGTACTTTGATATTTCTGTGGGCCTACGATCTCGTAGATGTGGATAATTGGTCTCCCTGGCTTGGATTACAGCCCATCAATGCCTCTGGTTCTTGTCCATGGGCTTCCATAACTCTTCTGTAGAGAATCTGTTGGCCTTTAGTATTTCATGCATAGAAGTGCAAACAGCCCTTGGATTGTCCGTCTTTTGTCCTTTGCTCTCACTCACCTCCTTTCCACAGCAGATGAATGAGTAAAAATCTTAGGAAATAGTAACCTACCTAGTAGATAGGGGTAATGTTTACAAAAAAGATGGGTTTTTAGTGTCTTTTTTTTGGTGGGGGGGGCATGTTGTACTGTTAGAGCTAACTCATGGCCAGTTTTTTTTTGTTTTTTTTTTAACCATGGCTAACTCTTTTCATAAGACCTTTATCATGGCATCTTCAACTCAGAGTGGGAAATGGGTGAAAGGCTAATTAATGGGTCCGTCTCTTGCCAGTTCCTTGAGTCCTTTCAGATTACAGGATTTCAAAGCTGGAAGGGAACTTAGAAGTTTTCTGGGGGATCTCCTTGTTTTACAGAGAGAAAAAAGCCTAGAAAGGTTTCATGGTTTTCCCAGGTTCACAATCTGGTTATTTAGCAGCAAGGCCAGGACTTCAGTCCAGCTTTTCAGCTTTTTAGCCTCCTTCCAAAAGAGCTATCCCTAGTAGATTCTCTTCTCAGAATAATTTAAATGGAGTTGGTAGGAAGGAGAGTTGTGAAGCTGGAGTCCACAGGTGGTGTGGTTTCTTCCTGTCCCAACTGTTTTCTCTTTTAGCATTTTGTTAAGTTTTAAATCCCATTTTTTGGTTTGTGACTGCTGGCACAGATCTGAAAGTGCAATTTTCAATTTCATTTATGCCTCCTTTGCTTGTTTATTTACTAATTTAAAGGCTGTTCAAAAGTGCCAAGGAGCAGGTGGCATAGATGAGAAAGGGGCAAGGTTTGATTTTTATTTTTTAAAAGGACATTTGAAGCATAATAGTGTTTGGGGGACGGGATTTCTTGGGCTTTTGCAAACTCTTCTAAATCCTGTTTGAATTTGTCCAAACACTGCTGTGGAAAGATTGGATCTGAAGTATCCCTGAGAGATCTCAGCTCCATCTTCTTTCTAAGGGTTTTTCTTAGATGTCCTTCCCAGGACATTACAACCTAGACCTTCTTGTCCCAGGAGAGACAAAGTTATTTGACAGCATGTATTCCCCAACTTCTCAGTAGTCCAAACTGCAAATTCTGTTCTGGCTTCTAGTATGTAGCTAAATGAACTCTACCTTTCTCTCCTCTCTCTCCTTTCTCTCTTTCAGCTTGGCAGTGACCTTGGCGGGGGCATTGGAGGAAGTCCGGCAGTAAGTGCCATCACTTTTTTTCACAGTGGGAAAGTAGTGTCCCTTCCCTACCCTGATTTGATGTAACTTTTTTTTTGTCCACTAATTCTCTCAAAGCAGCCATTGCTGCTGTCATACATTGTATGTGCAGACCAAGATAGCGGTATTAGAAGAGTAGCAGAGTGAGAAGTGGTCATTGAGTTGTCAGGCTGGTGCCCAACTCTCTGTTAGGCCATATTCTCAGGGCTTGGAGTGTTGGTCTCTTCAGGAATTTCTCTGGCTTCCTGTCGTTAATAGTTAAAAAGAAATTGAACCTCCTCTCTTGGTTAGGAAGAGCTCTTATGCCCTGGTGTCATCTAGCATGAAATTGAGGGAGTGATTTGGACTCTGTAAGAGTGAGAGGTTCCTGAGAGAGTGTGTTTGAGAGAGAAAATACCCACCTTTCTGGGGGAGGGACCCTCTAAATGTTTATTCTTGGAATGAGAGAACGAGACATGACTAAAGAGATGGCTAGACCCCAGTGGAGATGGAGCTGCTGCCCCTTCCTGCCCAAGCAGTCCCTTCCCCTCCCATTTTATGATGCCCAGAGGCCTCTTGCAAAGAATCATGGAAGCTAAAATTGGAAAGAAAAAAAAAAAGCAGCCAACCTTGAGTCCCTGTGTCCTCATTCTGTGCTTTTGTGCTCTCTCAAAAATAGCCTAGAGCGTGCGTTCCTGTGAAAGTGAAGCCCTTTTGGGCGACATAGCTCATTTGGTATTGAAAAGAGAGAGAGTGTGTGTGGATTAGTCTCCCCTAATTGCTGGGATTGCTTTGTTTCACCGAGTGCTTCCTTATTGACTTGTCAGTTATGCTCAAGTGCCTGTGATGTCCTTCGGCCCTTGGTGATGCCTAGATATGTTCGGTTTGCACTGTGATCCTTTCCCCTTTCTTCTTGACTTAAATTGGTTTTTTTTTCCCTGTAGGTGGGACAGTCCTTCATTCCATCTTCTGTGCCTGCAACTTTTGCCCCTTCACCTACTCCTGCTGTGGTTAGCAGTGGACTCAATGACCTCTTTGAACTCTCCACTGGGATAGGACTGGCACCTGGAGGGTTTGTGGCTCCCAAAGCTGTAAGTCAAGAAAAACTCATGATGGCACCTTCTTGATGGATAGGGCTTGGGAATCTTGTGATTTTGGTGTTAGACCTGACTTCTGCTGTTTGTTTGACCTGAGACTTTTGCCCCCTTGTTCCAAGGGGCAGGAGGAGATAGCAGGGCTCAGACTCACCAACCAGAGACCACTGCTATTCTCGCCACATTAGCTGTTATTTGTAATAGGTCCATGGGGCCTAAAATCTTAAGGAGGTGAACTCTTTTCCTGTACGTATGCCGTATCATTCAGTCTGTCAACCCTGAAGTCAGTTCAGGGGAAATCTAATACTATTTTGTTTTTTAAAAAATCTTTTGATATACTGTTTAGTAGAAGAAAAACATAAAGTTTACCAAGATAACATGCTATTCTGTGACTGAGAATCATCAATTATGAGAACTGAAAGGGCCCTCGGATTTCATCTAATACAGTCCTTTTATTTTACTGATGAGAAAACTAAGAACCAGAGGGATCATGACTTGTGCAGGGTTGTGTAGAGAGGTAGTCAAGGTCTGAGGCATTAGCCCTGGGCTGCTGACTTCCAGTCTGATCACTGTTTTCTCTACAGCGTCTTCTTCCCCTTAGTCTTATAATAACATTTGTAACATAGAATCTCTTTTTCCATTTTCTGTCACATGGTATTAGTGTAAAGCAGATTTATTTTTGAACATAGGGGTATATAAATTCAGTCAGACCTACCAAGTAGAAAGTCTTTAAGGATTGACCTAGTTTTGGACTGTTGTCTGGGGCCCAGTTTAATTAACTTTGAAGAGACTCATCACCAGATGAGCACAGAATGATGGATTTTTATTTACCACAGCAGCTCTTAAAAACCGTTGACTATGGTAGAGTGAAATTGCTGTCAGAGTGGATAAAGGGAGTGCTCCCACTGGCAGAATTTACAGGTTCTTGATGTAATGAAGCATAAATGTTTGTGGAATTAACAAGAATGTGAAAAATAAGGTCTTATTATTTTGGAGAAGCTTCCTTCGGGGTGACAGTCCCTTCATCATCTAGGGGTGTATCACTAGGCCAGAGCTCCTAGTGTGACTGGGCTTGACATGTTTCAATGCCTTCTGGGAAACCATGCTATTTTATTTCTTATCGAATTGTTTGCTTATTTATCTAGTTCCTTACAGAGGATCTCAGGTTGTCCTATCCAGGGAATGTGTGTGTTGCACATGCAGTCTGCTCTGTTGATTGCTCTTTCTGCAAAGTTGTTCTAGCATAATTTAGCTGAGAGCAGGCCGTCAAGTTGGCCTTGGCTAAATGAGCCTTACCCAGGACTTTGCCTAACTATGAATAGAATTATAAAACCTCCCAGAAACTATCATTTTGTCTTAGAAAGTTAGGACAAACCACATGACATATGATCAATTTTAGACTCCATTGTAGTTTGGGGCAGGATTAAAGCAGTGTTTTGAATGTAATAAAGTTCAATATCTGATTGAAGATGGTGATGATAAAATCCTGAGAACCCCAGTATGGCATTTTAGCATTTACTTTCAGTTACTACTAAATTTTGAACCAAAACTGTTAACACCTGTCAAGAGCTGCCTGAAGTTCCTCATCTTCTCTTATTTGTTCTGCTTACTAGAGGCACAAAAAGCAGTGACCAGGTTGGTCAGTGGAGAGGAGCAGGCTTGATCATCAGTCTCTGAATAATTAAGAATGAACTATGGTGGCTAATCAGAACAGCTGGCACTGCAGAGAGACCTTTGCTCTGCTCCTACAACAAACTTCCTGAAGGGACATTTTAGCTTTGTATTCTTTCCTGTGAAATCTGAATGATGGCACATTATCTCTCTAGGCATTGCCTGATCCAAATGGCTTTTATGCTGCCTTTTAGGTTTGGCTTCCTGCAGTGAAAGCAAAAGGCCTGGAGATTTCAGGAACGTTCACTCACCGGCAGGGCCACATCTACATGGACATGAACTTCACCAACAAAGCATTGCAGCACATGACAGATTTTGCTATTCAGTTTAACAAGAACAGGTGAGAAGCCTGAACCATTCAAGTTGGCATTGTGGTGGGCGTTTGCCTCAGGCTTAAGCAGAGAATGGGCCATTAAATCATGGGAAATCTTTCCTCTTGGTAGGCTCTGGACTCAGGATGAGGTCCAGGTCATCTTCAGCTCAGTAGCTATCTATCCAGATATTGTATGTGATGGCTCTGCCATCACATTTGGAATCATGAAACAAAAGCCCTTATACCTACTGCCATGAGACAGCACTCTCTGACTAGAAATCCTGGAGAATGCGGACTTCTTATGTCTAAATGTTTTATTAATGCTCTTTTTTCACATCACTGTCATTTTCAGTGTATTCTCCTTTCCCTACCTTGTCATAGAACTCTCTTGTATAACAGATTGACAAATTAGTTAGGCAAAACAAAGAAATAAAGCAACATATCGACTATGTCTAAAAATGTATATATCATTCCCCTCCTGCAGTCCACCACCACTGCTGAAAGGCAAAAACATGCTTCCTCCTCGGTCCTATGACGCCATGATTAGATTCTGCATTGATTATCGTTCTAATGGCATTAATTGTTGCTTTCCTTTAAGTTACTGAGGGTTAATTGCTTTGTTCTGTATCAGTTCATATAAGTTGTCTTTGGTTTTCCAAAAAATTCTGCTGTGAATATTTTTCTATACATGAGACCTTTCTTAGAGTGTGTTTTTTGTTGAAATACTGTAACCTGAGTGTGAGAATGGAGCAGTTTTTTGCCTTTCTTTGTATGCTCAGTGCTTTTGTTCAGTTGTTTCAGGTATGTCTGACTCGGTGACCCCATGTGGGTCACAACAACAAACCACACTTAATAAGTGTTTGTTGATTGATCTAAAATTGTCTTCAAAGAGTGAGCTTTCATTGGTTACAGCAATAACACTTGGCATAGATAGCCCTTTACAGTGCCTCCCCATACCCCGTAGCTTGTTACTGAGGACACAAGACAGTGAACTACATATTACAGGCTGGCAGCCGACTTTTGGCATGACTTTTTTTTTTTTTGCCCTAGCTTCTTGCTAGGAAGGAGGAAGTTGAAGGCCCAGGTCTAAGAGTTCTGAAGCACCGTGGTCCCTGTTAAGTTTTCATGGCTTAAGGAATTGGCTGCAAGATCCCATAAAAAATAACTTTTTTTTTTAAAATCACCTTCATTTCCAAACATTCCCTTCCCCTTCCCCTTCCCCCACATAACAAGCCATCCTTTGTAACAAAAATAAAAAAAGAAAGGGGGAGAAAATGTTCTAGCTTCAAGATTCAATTGTGGGATCTTTTTTTTTTTTTTTTTTTGGTAGTTGTGAAAGATTCAACTCTGCTTATAAAATAGGAGTAATTGATTCTTGAATCATCAGATCTGTTTCTGTTAGCCAAGAGGCTACATTTCTGAAATTCGGGCTTGTGTCATCAGTTGTTTTAATTCACTCTAAACCATTTGCAAATGTTTTCACCTTCTGGAATATTTTTTGAATTGGCACATCAGCAACCATCAGTATGTCTGGCTGGCTGGTACTTTATTCTGCCCTGACCAGTGAGCTGTCCAGGAAATTTCTCCTGAAGGTACAGTCTGTTTCAGAGCAGTAGTGTGTCACAGGTGGAAGGCACGTTCTAATGAAAAAGGCACAGCTCTGATGGCTCAGGGTAAGTGTCCTCTGATTTCTGCTGCTTCTGAGGTTAGAATCACAGGACAAATCGAGAACCTTTTGGCCTAGTGAGTCATCAGGGAGAGTTCCTCATCCCTGACTTAAAATGCCTGTTTCAGTGTACTTGACAAGGAAAAATCCCTTGTCCAGCTGAGAGGTAGATTTTCTATGTAAATTACTTAGTTGTTTCACCTTAGTGAAGTGTTTGTTTACTTGACGTCATTTCTAAAACTAAATGAAACATGAAAATGGTTAGGTCCCTAGGTGGCACAGCATGCCTAGATTAGGAACACCTGAGTTCAAATCCAGTGTCACGTACTTACTAGCTGTGTGATCCCGGGCAAATTGCTTAACTAAATTTCCATGCCTCAGTTTCCTCATCTGTACTACAGGGATGAAAATGGCACCTTCCTTCCAGAGTTGCGAGGACAAAATGAGACAATAATTTTGAACATTTTGCAGACTTTAACACTGTATATAAGTGCTATCATGATGATGTCTTAATTGGAGGAAATAGAAAACGTACATCAAACTGCCCATTTCGTTCTTTATGCCAGTTTTCCTGATCTGCTTTTGCAAAATCCTTTTTATTCATGGCTGTTCTTTAGACGAAAGGATTGGGTCTTTGGTTTTGTTTTTGTAAACATCAGTTTTCTTTGTCAGTTTCTTCTCACCTTCTACACTGTCCTATCTTCACCCAAGAAAACTAGCTGGATGGTATGTGCTGCCTGTTGTAGACTTGCCTGACCACGTTTAGCCTCGGTTTCCTTTTAGTCATTTAGGATATACAAGTCAATCAACTCCATTTTGCTTAGATTGGCTGTTTCCCCTTGAGTCATTGGATAATCTTTGAACAAAAAAGAGTGAGTAGGAATGAAAGTAAGATTTGCAAATGCATAATTCTATCCTCTGGACAGGGCTGCAGTGGGGTCACTGTGACCCAACAGAATCATCCCTGTTACTTTGCTTTGAAGGAAACGATAATTCTTCTCTCTCTGCCAAAGATGACTTAGGAACCATAGGATAATAGATTGAGGGCAGGATGGGACTTTGGATGGAAAGAAGCAGGGGTGAGAAGGGCTCGGAGAAGCTGCGTTTGGTGGGTGGAGGAACGGGTCTTTCTCCCATTATCCAAGGAGATGCTTATTGGACACAGCACCATTCAGAGCCCCAGAGATGCTGCTGCTTTTACATCTCCTCCGTTTCTTTTCTTTCCTAGCTTTGGTGTCATCCCTAGCACTCCTTTGGCCATCCATACCCCGCTGATGCCAAACCAGAGCATCGATGTGTCCCTTCCCCTCAACACCTTGGGGCCCGTCATGAAGATGGAACCTCTCAATAACCTACAGGTAGGAAAGCCTCCTCCCCAGCAAGTAGGAGGAGATTGTTGCCACATCGGTCTCGTCTCCTGGTTCTGTAAGCGTCTGCCATTAGCAGCAAGAGGTCCTGCCTGTGGCTGATGTTAGACTAGATCCCGATGCAGGCCTGGAAATCGTCCTGTGTGGAGTTGTGGCCTTTATCAAGTGCTTGTGCAGCTGGGACCTCAGCTCTGGTTTGTGTCCTGGTTTCTCGTTCTGATATTAGTGGAAGGAAATTAAGGCATAGAACAAGGGAATTAACCGACTTCTTGGCATTGGAAGTTGGGGGTTCTTGTAACTGATTCTCATTTCACTTCATTCCCCTTCATGCTGTCTGTGTTCCAGGTGAGCTTGCTGTTGCTCAGTCTGGTTCTCTGTCTCTTGCCAGGTTGTGTACTTTCTCCTCTTCTTTGCCTGTTGAAATGTTTATTTTCCTGAAGATTTGATACGTGACATACCCCCTCCAGGAAGCCTTCCTGGCCAGCCCACTGTTCCCCTGCGCTGATGGTGTTCTCTTCCTCCCTACACTTCCCTCTGTCATCCGTGTGATGTGATACGGGTCCTCCTGGTTCACGGTGAAGGCTTTGAGCAGAGGCTGTCATAGTTCTTACACCATTCCCCAATTTTGTTTCCCTCGGAACATTGACCATCACATATGAAGCCATTAATAACTGAATTTTTGAATTGAATTGAAACGAGTTGAATCTGATAACTGTTAGAGCTGATAGCAATGAGAGTTTGCAGCATTGACTCCCTGTATTTGCCAGTGTCACACAGCGCCCTGAGCAAGCCCTTAAAGGTGGCTGACTGCTCTAAGGGCCCACCATGCAACCCAGCCTGAACCTTCTTATTCTATCTCAGATCTGAAATGCAATTTGCAAATCTGTGTACATTTACACAGTTTTTAATCAAAAAATTTGCCTGCAAGTTTTTAGATGTTTGGTAGCTGGAGCTAGGCCAGGCAGAGGAAAACTTGTGTGCTTGCAGTGATTTCTCTATCTGGCAAGTACTTAGGCCAAGTTAAGAACAGATTATATGAGATTTTCGTGATTTAACAAAAGGATCTGGGTGGTGGTGGTGGTGGTGGTGGTGGTGGGAGAAGTTTTTTGGAGGATAAATTCTAGGGAAAGGCTCTGTCCTACTATGCAGATGAACAAGACACCCTCCAAGAAATTTTTTCCCAAGTGGAAGGGAACTCTTCTCTGAGAATTGCAAAAGCCCTTGGTTTTCATGCCTGCTTCTTTCAGTGCAGGTTTCATTATGCAGCTGTTGAGATGTGTCTAGGAGTCTTGGACTGGGTATAGTGAAACCTGGGAGACCTTGCTGACTGCGGGAGAGTCCCCCCCCTCCCGCCCCCCACCTTGGGCTCATGTCTAAGGAACATTTGTTCTATTTTTAATCTGATGTAGGACTTTTGGAGAAAATTAAAGACCTCACAAGCATGGTTCTCAATTGTCTAAGTCTCGGGTTCCTGGCCCAACTTTAGACATCTTTCCTTCCCTCCCTTCCCCCTCATATTGCGTCTTTTCTCTTCATCTCCCCTCACCGACTCTCCATTTTTAAACCTTTGTCTGATCCAGGTTGAACTTGTCTTAATTAAGATCTTAATTTTCTACCTACCTCCTGTAGCGAAAAGTTGTAAACAAGTTGAGTTTAGTTTTCCAGTGATTCCTAGATAGATCTTAAGTCAAATCAAGAAGCATTTATTAGGCACTTAATGTATGCCAGGGACTGTGCTCAGCACTGGGAATACAGAGAAAGGCAAAAAACCAGATACTCCCAGTGCCTGCTGTCAGTGAACATGCACTTTAATGGGGGACACAACATTCAGACAGCTGCGTGCAAACAAACTATGCACAGAATAAATGGGAGATCCTCAGTCAAGAGAAGGTGCCAGGGTTAAGAGACTCAGGAGAGGGTCGGATTTCATCTGGATCTGGAAGGAGAGTAGGAGGGAGAGGATCTAGGCGTGGGAGGCAGCCGTGGAAATGCCCAGAGTCAGGACATGGTGTTTTTGATAAAGGGACAACAAGGAGGTCGGTGTCCCTGATTTACAGAATATATGGTGTGTATAGGGGAGGGCGGACGGGATAGGAGTGGGGGGAGGTTATAAATGGCTTTGAATGGCAGAGGATTTTCTGTTCGATCCTGGAATTGATAGGGAAAACTGGAGTGTATTGAGTAAGTAGGGTGACGTGGTTAGACTTGCACTTAGGAAGGACACTTTGGCAGCTGAGCAGAGGATAAACTGGCGTGGGATATACCCGAGTTAGGAAGATAGATAGGTAGGCAGGTGTAGTACTCCAGGCTGGCACCTGAGTGATGGGAGGGTCAGAGGAGAGAAGGGGGCATCAGCCCGGCAACACCTTGGATATGAGCGGTGAGAGAGGGTGAGGAATCCAGGGGGACTCTTGGGTGGTGAGCCCCTCAACAGGAATAGGAGAGTCAAGTAGAAGAGCTAGAGGGTGAGGTCATTGCTGACTGCTGAGTGTTAAGAAGAGAGAGGGGATAAGGAAAGGCGAGGCACAGGTCGTAGACATTCTTCTCCATGGACAAATACAGAAACGGGAAGACGTGAGCAGTCTTCGCATCTGCCTGTGTTGGTCCCTGGGGTCTCTGTGCCCTTCCAGACCTTTCTCCCTCTCTCTATCTCCGTGTCTGTCTAGTAACTGCCTCCTCCTCTGTCTATTTTTCTCTGTCTCTCTGCTTCTGTCACTGTGGTTTGTCTCCCTTGATTTCTTACTGGCTCCATCCTGTCTCTGTTTATCGCTTCCTCCATGTGCCCATGTTCCCCCAACTCTACCTCACCTTCCCTCAAGTTACTTTCTGTTTGTTCATAGACCACAAGGCATTGATGTGGATTAATTGAAATGAATCCATAGGTAAACATCTGTAAATATCTCTTTCTCCCTTGTATTCTTTTCCTGTCTTGTCTCGTGTTTTCCTTCAGGGGGTTAGGGGGAGTGGGAAGGAGATCCCTCCATATCTGCCCTTGTTCCTAAGAACTTGCTGTAGAGACACTGGCCTCTCGGCCTGTTCTCACAGTAGTCTGGAGATGACAGGTTGTTTGGGAGCAATAAGTGGTAGCAGTGGACGGGAAGTAGCCAGGGAGCTGGCCTGGGACCAAGAAGTATTCCTAAGGAGTTTGCATGAACATAAGGTCCTGCCTCCCCAATCTCAGTGCCTCTAGGGGTCCATAATCCTTGCCCTCTCAACTCCTGCTAAACTGGCCCTGCTGCCTGCCCTACCTCAGGCTGCAAGCAGTGACTCAGGTGGAGGGAAGTTCCTGCCTGTGTTGCCCTCTGGGGGGAGGTAGTAGCAAATTCTTCATCCCACTGCCGGAGAGGGACATATAATTCTGTCTTCTCGAGTTGAAATTCATTTTCTCGCAAAAAAACAAGGTTGCACATGGTGGCTTAGATCTTTTAAGTACATTAGTAGGCTTAAAATATTTTATGGGTTAAATTGGCATCGTTCTAGTGGGAAAATATATTCCCAATTTTCAAACAATTTAAAATTACTTTCTGAGCATCATCTTGCGTAAGTTGGGTGCTGGATTATAACTATTTTCTGTAGTGATGTATATGAATCTGGCATATGGATAAAATTGATTGGTTGCCTGTTTTGTATGCCATAGGACTGTGTCACTAAGAGCACAGACTTTGGGTCAGATGGCCTGAGCTCTAGGCCTAGGTTTTACCACTAACTTGTTATGCTGTGTGACTTTGAACAAGTCCTGTGTTCTCTCAGGGTCTCTGTTTCCTCAGCGGTAAACCATGGATAAAATACCAGCTCTACCCTTTTCAGAATTGTTGAGAGGATGGGATGAGATAATGGATGTGAAAACTAAGATGTTATGTGATTGTGGGTCAGGCAGTGATATTACTGTTGTACTGCACACTGTGCATAGTCCAGTGACTCAAACTTGTGCTCTTGGCCATAATTTCCACAACCCTGTACATGCTCTGCATCACAGTGACGATCAGAAAGTTTCACATCCTGCAAAATGATGTTTTGACTTCAGCGTGAGTGATCAGAAGCACCCAAACTCTCTGTTCCAAGGGCTCGTCATTGGCACCTGCCCTTGAAAAATGGGATGCAGAGCAAGTTAGCCTGTGTGTATGGCTCTCGAGGTTCTCTGGGAAGTCAGGAGTTTTTATGAACTTAGAGGTGCCAAGTGGCATTCTTTCAGCTTTCGTTTGCCCTGAAGGAGGGACTCTGCTTAGTTGCCAGCACAGTGCGGCAGTGAGGAATTGGATACCAGCTTCTTGTTGGAGCCATCTTTTTTACAGATGATGGAGGATGCCATCTGAAGACGCCAACAATGAAGTGTTTATGAGAGCTGCCATAGTGGCATTATTTGGAGAAAAACAGTCATTTCCATACCCACTCACGAGGCCTATTTGCCCTTTCACCAACAACCTCGTTGTCGCAGCAGTTGGCTGTCTCTTGTTAGCCGAGGGAGTAATCGTTTTGAGTTAAGAAAGTGTGAGTCATGATAGTAGTTTGGCTCGGGTTGGGAAAGACAGCACAACTATTACTGTGCAGCCAGAACTGACTGTTACTATGATGAGAGCAATTTCTTATGGGGGCCTTCAGCGCAGGGTCCTAAAGGAATTCTCTGGTTCACATCTGCTCCATCCTCTTTCTTTGGCCCGGATTTAGGAGTAGTCAACAAGCATGCACCACGTATTATCTCGGAGACAAGAAGAGAAAGCAGGGCCAAAGAGAACAGGACAGATCAAGAGACAAGTTATGGACAAGTGCCTTAGGAGCTTACTTGTCTTTAAAAAACAATAACAAAAAGCAAATGACTGATGCCTTTTGTATTTTCTATTACATTTATTTCTGATATTATCTCTCTCTCTGTCCACCTCCCTAGTGAACCATTTCTAATAAGGATTCAGAAAGAGTGAGGAAAGAAAACAGTTCATCAAAACCTAGTTCACTTTCCTATGGATCTGTAAAAGAATGAACTGAATAAAAAATAA